GGTAATAGCCGTGTTCGATGAGCATAAACCAGCTCTCGATGCCATCGCGGGTCTTCATTGTAACCGAACACAGTCCTCCGGGGAAGTTGCCACGGTACGCCACGATGACAATTGCTCCGACGTTGACTTCAGGTCTATCAAGGAAGGAGACGATCACGTCTCCGGACACGCAGCCCCACCAGCGCTCACCCATCCATTCTATAAAGGAACCCCAGGACTGGTTCAACATGTACCAGTTGCTGTACTTCTCGTCAGGATTGCGTATTGTGTCGCAATAACGGAGTAAATCGAAATGGTCCGTGTGTACATATTGCCATTGTGTCGCAGCACGAAAACAAGTAGACAGGTAAACGAGTAGCTAGGTCTGTTTGCTATGCGTATCATGGGTACTGAGACTGTAAGTACCTGTAAAACCACCGGTGTACATTCTGGCTTTTGGCTTGGTGCGGGGGGGTCCTGTTGTCTTCCTCATCGTCCTCCGTCAAGAAACATTAGAGAGTGAGGAACAAGAGTCCTTTGAAAGATCATTGTCACCTGTCAGAGATGTTTCCAAAATAAAATAATCACAATGACTAAAATAGCAAAGCCTGTCAATGATATCACAGCAGAATATACCTTTATTTTACTCCAAAACTATACACTAAAAGCTTCTAAAAAAAAGTCTGAGGGTGACAGTCAGAGACATGAGGAACTAGAATCCCTTGAAAGATCTTTGTCACCTGTCCTAGATGTTCCAAAATAAAATCATCACAAAGACCAAAATATCAAAGCCTCTCGAAGCAATTTGAGTAGAATGTACGTTTATTGTTTCTCCAAAAGTATACAGTAAAAGCGTCTGAAAAGTCTCAGGGTGACGCCATTTTTCAATATATTCTACACGGAAAAGTGCCATTGCTGCACGTTTACATGGCCTTACGTCTGTCCTTTATATACCGTTTGAGATGTCTCGAAATTGACTTGTCCTGATCCACCTCCGAAGCCTTCGTGTTCCTAACTAGTATGTCCCTGCAGAGCTCTTGCATTGCAGCAATGGGTCTGGTCACAAAGGTGACCTTTTTAAGAGTGGTCATGTGGTGAAGTAAAGGTCCCATGCTGGCAAAGCTTACACTGTCGTACCTCACACTCTCGTACATCACACTGCCGCAGTTATAAATTGGAATAAGTATCCCCTACGTATATCACCCATAAAACACACTGTCGCGGTTGGAGTGCCTGAATCGTAGCGGAGAGAGAGATCGAATGAGCTTTATTGGTATGACTTTTTACAGGGTGTCTCAGATATGTTGATCATTTTAATTCTTCATGAGAAATTCATTGGATTCTATTTATTGTCAGAAACCACAGGGGAGTGTTTTGTGAACATGACAGGAAATAATGATAAGGATATCATGTCAATGTTGCTTTTTTTGACTTTTTATATTTAAATTGTGCCTTGTCAGAGCATACCATTCCTACCTGCTCATCTGAAACCTGTCTCTCACTGCTCTCAGCCTGTCTCTCTTCACCTTCTTTGATTTGATACACATTAAAACAATACACCAAATAATTACTCATTATAATTTCAAATCATACATAGTAGTGATCATACACGGTCACGGAACAATCATCTTTTCAATCAATCTATATTTAATTAACCGTTAAATAGAGAGTTGTGTGACTCACTAAAATATGTTTGTTTAATGAGTGATCCTGGTTTGTATTCATATCGTATGTGACTGATCTTTCCCATCAGGTTGAAGTGGAGGAAGAGCACTGAACTTCAAGCTTTAAAGACATCAGGTAAGAAGTAAGCCATTTCTAAACTTTATATATTATTACCTGTGAACCCACAGCCTTCTGTCTGCCCCAGCTGTACAGTGATAATCTTTAATGATCTACTGCATTATAACATGAGGGACATGTTCTACTGTGGTGATGGGTGAGGGCTGTTTGTTGAAACTGTAGTTTGTGGTGTGATGAACTGTACTGTCTTACAAACATACATGTCTTTGTTCAACAGAACATTATAAAATAGTTTCAAGGATATAGTGCAAGCAGTTTTTCACAAGGTCATTATTTTTAACTAATCTTAGCTTGTTTTCATATCATTTGTGCCCATTAAGGGAGAGCTGCTGAAGGCATTTCATCATCCCCCAGTCACCTGACTCACTGCATATCAACCCGTATTGGTGAGTATGATTTGTTGTTAAAGTAAAATAAACATAAGCATTTGATTATGATGAACTGGAATAATTTAAATTATGTCATATTGCTAATTGAATCTATTTCCCTTGGATCAAACTGAATATTAAGTAAACTACAAATAATCTATTTTCAGTGTTACAGTTAAAAAAGTGTTCATCAATATACTTTTATGTTTCTGTAGGTCTGCAGGTATTTGCTGAGTTCCATTGCATCACAAATATGAACCTTCACAACACATTCTACAGCCAGCTGGACCGACACACACTGCAACAGCATACAGGCAGAAGGCCTCAGCGACATGAGAGACAGGCGCTGCAGGAGGATTTATAAGCTGTAGGTAAATTACATACAGAAGAATAATCATTTTAACCTGAAGCTAAGGTTAATAATGATCATTTATGCTTATGGTCATAATGAGAATTTAAAAAGGAATTTCTTTTTTGGCCTAGGAACAGCATGATGTACACAAGAAGCACTCTGGCTCTTCATACCCTCCCATTGTACCTGCAAGGGGATCTTCAAGATCTCCTGCGAGATGTACTGCGAGATGTACTCAGTGCAATTATGAAAATGTCAATATCAATGACTGGTGTAAACTGTTTTTGTAGAGTAAAATGTGACTTCCTGCATTTAACAGACTTTAATAGAAGACGAGATGGGTTTAGATTTTTCTATATTTCATCTAAATATAAGGCTCCCATGTGTTAATTACAGTGAAAGAGTATAAGGACTGTTATTGTTCTTCCACACCATAAGGCATACTGTATTAGGCCAGGTCCAACTGTAAGACATTTTCAATCCTTGTTGAACATAAGAAAATCTTCCCGTAGTTAGGCCGAAGCTAAAATGGTGCTTCAGCAGTCAGAGGTATGATTATCTTTGATGTGATTTGGCTAAGTCTGAGTTGTAAAGGCCTCATAATAATAATGAACTTTAGGTTGCATTTTAAAACAGAATTAGGACTTTGATTTTTGTCCTTTCATCCTTACAGTGGATTACATTCAGCAGGTATTATAGAGCCAGTATAGACAGAGAAAACAGTGTGACCGCCAGTAACTGCCAACATGCATATTTACATTCAAGTGTTTTGACTGACAGAAACATATTTACTGATGCTTTTAATTGTGTGAGGAGCAAGAGCCTACTGTGCAGGACTTGTAATCTTGTTACTGGGATTATCTCCATCTTTTTTTTTTTTCCTTTTATTTGTGCAGGACCATGAGCCAAACTTTGAAGACACCCCTGTAGCTCTCCTCTATGTGGTCACTGACAGCTCCACTGGTACCATCCAGTTCAACCCTGACAGCATTTCTGATGTGATTGAACCTTGATGTGACGGGTCTCCCCAGGTTGGATGATATACATTTTCATAATGTTGGTTTTTATCTGAAGGTAATCATTTTACAAGGTTCTTTATCTACCTCAGCACATGATACGTGTGATTCATTATGTTAAATCATTGGATCTTTATTTGCTTTTGATTCCACAAAAGTTATTTTCTCATATTTTGTTTAAATGTATTGGTTATTTCTAATAATGTCCTTAACTACTACCTTATAGCACAGTTTAAGGTTCTTTAAATCCTGTGTAAAATAAACACTGTCAGTGTTTCCATTAAAATACAGACACATGACTGGATCTACAAACCCATTCCAGTTGTATAGACTGTTTTAAACTTGAATAAAAAAGGTGAACTGAACAAAGTGAGTTGTATTAGTATTTTTTAACAATTGTTACCAAAATGAGGGTTTTCTTGTACATTTTGAGCTGACAGGAAGTTCATTTTGTTTATCTTTGTCCTTTCCCCCAGGCTTTGGGTTGAGCACAAATAAAATTATTGAGTAGAAGAGTTGGTTGGATTTAATTTGAATGAGTATCATCAAATCAATTAAAGTGAGTATGCATAACTTGTAGACAGGAGAACCAGGTCATCAGCAAACATCAGACATTTGACCTCTGTGTCCTGCAGGGTCACACCAGGAGCTGTGGACTTCTATATTTCTTCTGTGAATGTGTTAATATACATGTTAAAGAGGGTTGGACTCATCTTGCAGCCTTGTTTCACCCCACAGTTCTGCCTGAAATAATTTGTTCTTTTTTTTTCCCCCAATTTCAATTGCACGTGTTATTTACATAACACAATTCAATCCAATTCAATTCAATTCAATACAACTGAGCTTTATTGCCATGACAGATCAACAATCTATGTTGCTAAAGCAGTACAGAAAACATTTTGAACGACTTCCTAATAATGAATCTGAATTAATCTTGTGTTGCGTAGGTACAGTTGTAGTTCTGGCGATCGTCCGGTAGATGGCGCCACAAGCTTTCAAACTTAATTTATTCACGAATATTTATAATATTGTAAAGGCCTGCAGTAAGGAGAGCACAGCCAGACAGCTGGAGTACAGAGACAAAGCAATTTCTGCGGTAATTTAACAGATTCCCTCGCGACAGCACAAGATAATACGATGTACGTGGTATAAAACTCAATAAAAACCTTAAACACATAAACAAACACACAAACGGTGGTTTTTCTGAACAGGAAGTCGGACACCGATCCAACATTAAAACATCCGGTTTATTTTCAGAATAACACCCTCCGTTTTGACGGTTCAGAAAAACCACCCTTTGTTTATGTGTTTATAAGGTTTATATTGAGTTTTTTACAACACATAACTGGTGGAAGTTTGCCGTTGTTCGGCACAGGTAACTAGGGACGTAGGTTACTATTCGTCCTGATTGGTCAGCTTTTGTTTTAGTGGGATCATATGTCATTCGCTTTTAGAGTGAATTGTCCTTAGAGAGTTACCGTAGCTGCCGTAAAGCGAGTGCCAGGGCTCTCAGGATGTCGACTCTCCAAACCCGGAATATCTGCTATCGAGTCCGTTCGCCAACCAGACAAGGTAAAAACTAGGCAAGCTGCAATGCCGGGCTCACTACATAAGTTTTAAATTAATTAGATAAACATGAACTGACCGTGAGTGTTACACGCGTATCACGTTAGCACACGCTAGGCGGTTAACATGTTAATACATTGACCTGTTATCGACGCAGCTCTGAACTTGCGTGTTTGAGATAAAATATTAGGGCTGTTGAAATTAATCATTTGGTCGATGCAGACTAGAAGATTAATTTCAACAGCCCTAATATTTTATCTCAAACACGTAAGTTCAGAGCTGCGTCGATAACAGGTCAATGTATTAACATGCTAACCGATACTTAGGTTTTAAACGCAATCAAAGACCCTGTCAGACAAAGCAACATAACTATTTGTAAACCTAAATATCGAAATTCTAGCTGTATGTTAAGCCATTTAACTTCCATGGGCATTGGATTTTAAATTTCTGATAAATTTAACCTCTTAATTTTGTACAAAATGTATGCATCTAACTAAAAGGTACACATTTTTTTCTCCTGGGGATGTACATACCTTACAGATGACCGGACGATTCATCCACGATCGGCCTGGATGTCTGCCCTCTGACGAAAAAAGTTTGTGTGTACGCAGATCTTTTGAACCTTATATGGGTAGTACATGACGTCACCCCATTGAAACGAATCTGTGGGTTGCCCCTGTTGAAGTTGTCTGACCTCGGCCAATTAAATGGTGTTATAATCTACAGTCTGTTTCACGATTTCGTCATTGGATTCATATAGCATAAACAAGTCACGCCTAACACTGTCAGTAATTATGCTGTTGCTTGCTTTCTTTCAGTATTCACCAGCCTTGACCAGCTTGGTTCTGCTCCTGCCTTTGGGTCCACTTAAAAAACCTTTCATCAAAGATCACCTTCACATTACAGGCTCAGCTATCGTGTTTTGAATCGGTCAGTATGGGTTATATTAATCATTAGCCGGTTTGTATCCGATTGATGCCATCTGTTATAGATATATGTCAATTCCAACATTGTAATTGGTAAAATTACAGAATGTGGTATTGCACATTGTTGACTTGAGTGTGACAGGTTTTTATACCTGAATTAATGTGATTCAGGCCTTTTAACATAGACATTTCAGTGTCCCACATTTGGAACAGTCCACATTAGGAAATGCAGATTGTGTGAACCAATTTGGCAATGAGACTACTGGTATATTAATTCCTTTTTCTTCCTCTTCCATGCGGGGCTCGTGCTCCCTCCGCTCCATCAACGGAGGCCCAGCCGCTCCAGGAACACCCTCCGCTTGTTGCGCGCCAGCCACTCGGGGTGCGTCTTTCGCCATATCACAAAAGCGTTGTAAGCGGACACGTCGACGATGTTGTGGAACACGACCATGGGCCAGCGCGCGGTCATCCTCCTGCAGCTGTAGGTTCCGACCAGCTTGTCCAGGTTGTCGATGCCGCCCTTGGCGCGGTTGTAGTCCAGCATGATGGCCGGCTTCCTGTCCCGGCGATCCTCGCACACCTCGCCGGCGGTGCACCGTGCTGAGGAGCAGCATGTTCCTGCGCCTCTTGGCCAGGTAGGAGACCAGGATGGTGGCGGGCGTGAACGCGAACCTGGACGACAGCACGGCACTGTCCTCGGTCTGGAGCAGCGCGGGCGGCGGCGCGGGCTTGTTCTTGCGCACCATCCCCACCACGGTGATGTTCCTGTCCTCGAGGAGCCGCAGCGCCAGGTCGTAGGAGGTGAAGATATTGTCAAACATCACAACGTGACCCCCGCTCAGTCCCTCCGTCAAACACGACCCGCGCGCCCTGATTCTTCTTGGGCTGCCTTCCGCCTGTTTTCCAGGGGGGGTTTTTTCAAAAATTTAAAAAAAATAATGTTTTAAATGTTTTTTTGTGCGCACGCACACACACACACACACACACACACATGCAGAAAGGTCCAGGGGGGCGGGGGGTGGGGGAGAGGAGGAGAGATTGGGGGAGAACATTATTACACTAGAAGAAACACATGAGTGGATACATCACGAGACATTAAAGGAGACATGTAAAATAATAAAAAATAAAAATAAATAATTACTCCACCTATGAACGGATTTGGCACGTGTGTTAGGCATATACTGCCGGAAGGGACAACGGCCTTTTTTTTTTTCCCCAATATTTTGTTCATTTATTAGTTATGTTTTTTTTTTTTTTTCAATTAAAAAAAAATTGTTTATGTTTTTTTTGTGCCCGCACACACACACACACACACACACACACACACACACACACACACACACACACACACACACACATGCTGAAAGGTCCAAGGGGCCGGGGGGTGGGGGAGAGGAGGAGAGATTGGGGGAGAGCATCATTACACTAGAAGAAACACACAAACATGAGTGGATACATCACGAGACATTAAAGGAGACATGTAAAATGATAAAAAATAAAATAAAATAAATTACTCCACCTCTGAACGGAACCAGTTGCTCGTCCACACACACAAGAAACAAATAAATAAAAAATTAAAAATAGAAAATTAAAATTAAAAAAAATTACTCCACCTCTGAACGGAACCAGTTTCTCGTCCACCGTCACCTCGCACCCCGGGTTGTACAGGAGGGGCAGCCACGCTGTCCACAAGTCCCACACCTGTCTCACGGCCGCGGCGCGTCTCGCCGGTCTCGTCCGCGGGTCGTCGAATCGCAGCAGTTGCGAGAGCACATGAAACCTCTTGAGGGGCATGGTGGCGCGGAAGATGGGCCTTTCGCTCTCCACGTCCCACAGGCTGGCCGCGGCCTCGCCGCAAGACCTGTACAAGCCCGCCAGGATCGGCAGTCCCAGGTATGCGCAGAGTTTGGCCTCACTCATCTTCATCTTTTTCTTTTTCTTTTTCTTTTTGGACTTTGTTGTCGTCTTCTTCTTGGACTTTGTCTTTGACTTGTTGCTGTTGCTGTCGCTGCTCACGGTCATGTTCACGTTCTTCTTCCCCCCGCCATCGCAGCCCTGGTCCGTGCGCAGCCGCCGCCTTCTTCTTCTTCTTCTTCTTCTTCTTCTTCTTCTTCGTGATGTCGAACCCCCGCGAGGTTCGTCATCTCCAGCACAATCTTTTCTATCTTTGGCGTGACGAACAGCAGGAACGAGGAGACGATGTCGCGGGCCCGGGAGGCTGCGTGGCCCGTGGGTCCCGGGGTGGGGATGGCACGGGGGCCTGCTGTCGTTTCTCGTCGTAAGGGGCTGACGACCATGTGATTTTGCCGTTTTTTGACGGGAAACTCTGTCGAGGGGGTTCTCCTTCTTCGTCTCCTTCTTCATGTCTTTCTTCGTCCTCCTCCTCCCCCTCATCCATATCCATATCCATGTCCATGTCCATGTCCTCCCCCTCATCCTCATCCATGTCCTCCCCCTCATCCTCCCCCTCCTCCGTGTCCCCCTCCGTGTCCTCCTCCGTGTCCCCCTCCGTGTCCTCCTCCTCCTCCTCCTTGTCCTTGTCCTCCTCCTTGTCCTCTTCCTCTTTGGTATTCGAGAAGTAGTGACTGCGTAACATGGGGTTGTTGTCTTTTTTAAACTTTTTCGTAATGGGGGGTGGGTCGTCATTTGTCAACTTTTTCACAAGGGTTAGGAATATGTCGTCTTTTTTCAACTTTTTCGTAAGGGTTAGGAATGTGTCGTCTTTCTTCAACTTTTTATTAAGGGGGGGGTGTTTCGTCTTTTTTCAACTTTTTCAACTTATTCGTAATGGGGGGGTGGGTCGCCTTTTTTCAACTTTTTCGTAATGGGGGTGGGTCAACTTTTTTCAACTTCTTCGTAAGGGTTAGGAATGTGTTGTTTTTTTCAACTTTTTCGTAATGGGGGTGGGTTGTTTTTTTCAACTTTTTCGTATGGGGGAGTTATGTTGTCTTTTTAATTTTTTTTCGTAAAGGGGGGTGGGTCGTCCTTTTTTAACTTTTTTAACTTTTTCGTAATGGGGTGGTGTTTCGTCTTTTTTCAGCTTTTCCTTGGGGGGGTGTTAAGTCTTTTTTTCAACTTTTTCGTACGGGTTAGTAATTTGTCGTCTTTCTTCAACTTTTCCGTAAGCAGAAAAATACTTCATCAAAGTTTTCAACTTTTTTGATATTGAAATACTTCATAAAAATTTTAAACTTTTTAAAAAGCCTAAAATTTTAAACTTTTCTGAAGCCGAAATCTTTTCATGAAAATTTTCAATGTTTTGAAGCCGAATTCTTTTCATGAAAATCTTTGACTTTTTTGAAGCTGAAATATTTCATGAAAGTTTTCAACTTTTTTGAATCCGAAATCTTTTCATAAAAAATGTCAACTGTTTTGAAGCAGAAATCTTTTCATGAAAATCTTCGACTTTTTTGAAGCTGAAATACTTCATGAAAGTTTTCAACTTTTTTGAAGCAGTAATCTTTTCATAAAAAATGTCAACAGATTTGAAGCAGAAATCTTTTCATGAAAATCTTCGACTTTTTTGAAGCTGAAATACTTCATGAAAGTTTTCAACTTTTTTGAATCCGAAATCTTTTCATAAAAAATGTCGACTGTTTTGAAGCAGAAATCTTTTCATGAAAATCTTCGACCTTTTTGAAGCCGATATACTTCATCATGAACTATTTCGGCATCAAAAAAGTTTAAAATTTTCATGAAAAGATTTCAGCTTCAAAAAAGTCGAAGATTTTCATGAAAAGATTTTGGCTTCAAAAAAGTTGAAGATTTTCATGAAAAGATTTCTGCTTCAAAAAAGTGTAAAATTTTCATGACAGGATTTCGGCTTTAAAAAAGTTGAAATTTTTATGAAGTTTTTCGGCTTCAAAAAATTTGAAAACTTTCATGACGTTTTTCTGCTTTACAAAAGTCGAAGATTTTCATGAAGTATTTCGGCTTCAAAAAAGTTGAAAATTTTCATGAAAAGATTTCTGCTTCAAAAAAGTGTAAAATTTTCATGACAGGATTTTGGCTTTAAAAAAGGAAAACATTTTCATGAAGTATTTTGGCTTCAAAAAAGTTGAAAAATTTCGGCTTCAAAAAAGTTGAAAATTTTCATGAAAAGATTTCAGCTTCAAAAATGTTGAAAATTTACATGAAAAGATTTCTGCTTCAAAAAAGTGTAAAATTTTCATGACAGGATTTTGTCTTTAAAAGAGGTAAACATTTTCATGAAGTATTTCGGCTTCAAAAAAGTTGAAAATTTACATGAAAAGATTTCGGCTTCAAAAAAGTCGAAGATTTTCATGAAAAGATTGCGGCTTCAAAAAAGTCGAAAATTTTCATGAAAAGATTTCTGCTTCAAAAAAGTTGAAAAATTTCATGAAGTATTTCGGCTTCAAAAAAGGTAAAAATTTTCATGAAGTATTTCGGCTTCAAAAAGGTTGAAAACTTGTATGAAGCATTTCGGCTTCAAAAAAGTCGAAGATTTTCATGAAAAGATTTCTGCTTCAAAAAAGTTGAAAATTTTCATGACAGGATTTTGGCTTTAAAAGAGGTAAACATTTTCATGAAGTATTTCGGCATCAAAAAAGTTGAAAATTTTCATGAAAAGATTTCAGCTTCAAAAAAGTTGAAGATTTTCATGAAGTATTTCGGCTTTAAAAAAGTTGAAGATTTTCATGAAGTATTTCGGCATCAAAAAAGTTGAAAT